AAAAATGAGGGTGAGTATTTGTGTGGCAGTTTTCCACTGCCTTACCTTTATAGATCATAGTCAATATTGTTCCCAAGGAATGTTTTAGACAGTACTGTACATGGTGTAGTTGCAGTTCAGTACCAATATAGTAATACTGGTTTGGAAAAAATTAGTACTGCCCCTGAAAGGTATCCTCCAGCACCAGGGACAAGCACTTGACCAAAAGAGAAAAAAATGTTGTCAATACTTTAAGTTGGTGATATTGTTGAGGCCATTTGTACTTTGGGACATTTATTTCACATTCTAGTGGCTAGGAGGCCAAATTTAAGGGTGCTGGGCAAACAGTGCAGTGCTCTACAAGTATAGTAATTGATAACCAGAGCAACAGTTTCTGTCAAAACTGAAATTGAAAATAATCTGCATTCATGGTACCTGGGGGAGGTGGGGGGGGGGGGGGGGGGGGGAGGGAGAGGATAGATATTTGTGCCAAACACTGTATGTATGTATGTATGTATATTATTATATAGACTAATTGGTATGTAACAACGTTGGTTGCTTATGTTATAAACTTATGTGTCTTGATGTCACTTTTTATCACTTTTACAGTAACCGTAAGTAAATTTTTATACTCTACCTATAGTAAGTGTTATACATGTTTTGAAAAGTCTTGCAAGCAATGTTGTGGCATAATATTTATAATTAACCAGCTCTAGTTTTATATAGTTTTAGATGTTGTACTTAAAATATGATATGCATCATCTTACACTGCATGGTCTGTGAGTTTATGCCATTATAATTAGGGTATTTGCATTGCTGTTGTATTTATTTATTTATTTATTTATTTTACTTTACTCCAATTGTTTACCAAGGCAGAGAGAAAAGTCATTGATTGTAACAAGAGTGAGTTTTTAAACCATATTATATTTTACACCAAAACAATCAAATAATTGTTGTCGTGATGATATTTTCAGAATGAGTGTTACTGGGTTTCATGTACAATTTATTAATTTGAACTACTTCATCTCATAGCCATAATCTGTAAGTTGTTTAACTTCAATTTTTAGTTCCAGTTATATTGAATGATGGGACTGATGATCTGAGTTAGGGAGTTTGATATATTTTCTAATTTTAATGCAGTTTAGGTATACCCATGCATGCATGCATGCACACTCATAAACTCACACACACACACACACACATACACACATGCATTGCTTTAGAATGTGATGTTACCAACGACATGCATTATACCAACTGCAAAGAAAAATTTATACTTTGATATATGCTTCGTGATCATAATCTTAGTCTTAATCTTAATCTTAGACTGCATTCCCACAGATTAAGATCGATCCATCTGGATCGACCTAACTCCCTGGGGGTTCATGCTAAATTGCTGTTAGCCGAGCGCACCCGGACGTTAATTACCCCCTTACAGCTTTTAGTAGGCAGGACAGACATTTAAGCTGGCTAAGCTGACAGCAATCTAGTGAGACTCCCCACGGGGATTGATCGATTTAAAATCTGTGGGAATGCAGTCTTAGGGTAACATATCATCGAATCTGTTCCCAGACCAGAATCTTAATCTCAGGGTAGGTTACTTTTGATTCCATGAATTTTACACATGCAGAACAATGTTTTATGTTACAATCATGTTTAAAGTAGTTTTAGAAACTGGCACCAGATCTTGTGTCTATTTTGTACATGTATTGTTAACAAACTGCCACTAACTTTTGATAATGGTCTTATTGGTTGATTACTATTGTGTGGCCTATAGGCACAGGAGGTTCTGGGGGGGGGGGGGGCGGGATTGAAGGTGATATTTCAATACAATTCAACAGTCCTTTTGAAACTTTAAAAGTGTCTACTACAAGCCAGTTTACTAAATCTTAATTTCAAGACCTTAAAATGTACAAATAGATCAATTGTATTTCATGGCATTTCATATATTTTGATGAGGCAGTATTATGTGCGCCGTTGAGAACAGCTTTTACCCAAGGTGACGCACAGAGTGCAGCTGATTTACCAGAGGTTTTTGCATACTGTATACTTTACCAGCACATCTTAATGTGTAGATTGCATTATCTCACGCTGAAACTATATCCTCTACCTGGGCCACAGATTAATTATGTGCACTTTTCTCCAATGCAACAGTGGAGAAATGTGCCATGAATAACCCGGGGAAATATCTGTGAATATTTAATGAAAAATCAATATGTGGCCCTGGCAGAGGGTACTGAAACGATATTGAAATTTATTTTAAGTAAGCATTTTAAGTAAACATTTTGATTTAAGTCAACCTGGTTTCCTACCAGTAACTTTTACATGTACCTTCTTTTGTTTTGTACATTGTACACATTTTTATATATATACGAGTAATACGACTGTTTATAGCACCAATGTAAATTGATGAAATATAATTGGAAACTGTCAGTGTAATGTATGCTATTAAGATGTGCACCATTTATCAGTAATTTGAATACATGTTTCCTAATGATTTTAAATATATATTAACAAACTTATAAATAAGTGTTATAAATAAATGTATAATTGTCAGTCTTGTTTTGATGGACAGGTAAACGTACTCCGACTACGCTATACACAATACGTAGCGCCAAGAGATAATGAGTAACAGGGCCCCGTATCTCGAAAGGTTCGCTATGTTGCGTACCTGCGCAAGTGTCTCGATTCCATGACCGATTCTATTTCGAGATACGGGGCCATGGAATCGAGACACTTGCGCACGTACGCAACATAGCGAACCTTTCGAGATACGGAGCCCAGATATGCTGCAAACGACTTTATCAGACATTATTTAATCAAGCCAACATGAAGCATTCAGTTGAAGAGTTATATTTGCTTTTGCCAAAAATGTGCTTCGAAAAAGGGAAAGGGATTTATCAAAATTTTTAATAGAATGCAGTAAGACTCACTGACATTTTTTTCGTTTTGTCGACATAATAAAAAGAGGAAAAAGCAAAAAAAAAAAAAAAAAAAAAACTCCAAGGTCATAAAATTTTTTTAATTAGTGGCGGCATTTGCTTTGGAAAAAAAATCTGTCATACGAACATTGATATTTTGGTGTAAGACTAAAAAACTAGTGCAACGAGCGTAACGAGACGAAACAAAGTGGCTTTAAAGTTTTTCAGCCGTATGCCCTAATACTACGATACCCCCCCCTTCCCCGTCTGTCACGGTCTAGCTTACTATTTTATAGTACTGTCCTTGTGACCCCACCTTCCCTGTGACCCCATCTTCCTCGTGAACCCCACCTTCCCTGTGACCCCACCTTCCCTGTGACCCCACCTTCCCTGTGACCCCATCTACCTCGTGAACCCCACCTTCCCTGTGACCCCATCTTCCTCGTGAACCCCACCTTCCCTGTGACCCCATCTTCCTCGTGAACCCCACCTTCGAAAAGACCTTTGTCCGCTTTTGGTACATGTACCGGTGTGACAAGAATGGAAGTCCAAGGAATGAAAGTCCGGGCTCCCATAAAATGAGTACAGGTTAGGGTTATTTGGAGTATTGGGGTTAGTAAATTGAACGAACGTCACCTGTACAAAGTAATCGGAAGCGGACTACGTCTCCTAGCGGACTTCCATTCCTGTTACACTGGTATCACGGAAAAGGACGCACATGATATTTCAAACTGCAGTGTTCAAACTTCCCAGAATCAATGAGATAGATAGTATTTATTGCAGAGGACAGGATTGAGGTCCTTAATTGGATATGTTTACAATAAATGTTATAGTGAATAGAGTTCTTGTGAATACAAAGATCATAATGAATATTGCAAGACGTTAGATGGCGAAGTTCTTGAAGTATATACAGTAGAAAATGTGTGGTGTTTTCAAACATGTGCATTGTTATCGTATTAAAACGATAAACATACTCAATATTAATTAATGAGATTAATAATATGTACATGAGACTCGCGTGACAAGTACTGTAAGTTGACGTAATGTTTAATTAACAAACTCTTGAGACAGTGACACCACAATCCTAATGACAATCACAAAAAAACATAGTAAATACTAAATGCTCTATTTACACGTTAATAAACTTCGGGCTTTTTAAAATACAAGTGTGCACTGACGGCACACCAGCCTGTTTGTAATTTTTTATTTATTGCCAAATTTGCGAGGTTCCAGACCACATGGCATTGACCCTGCACGCTTTCGATGTTCAACAAGGAAGGCAATAAATTACTCCAAGAACATACAGGTAGAGCGTTTTTTTTTTCATAGGTCTCTCCATGGTGTTGTTTTTAGAGACAAGTTACGTACTCTGTCTCAATCCTATGTTTCGGTGGTATTCTCTTATGATCAGTCTTGCTGCATATATTACATGCAGCGCAATAGTCCGAAGACGGGCTGAGAGTTGAATAGCTTGTAAAATCAGATGAGGTAAAGGAATAATCTCTAGCTATTGGCGAAGCAGCGTCTGAGAGATAAATATCTACATGTGAACTAGCAGGTGATGAAGTCATTAATATTTCTGAATTCCGAGGTGACGTCAACGAATCTATCGGTGACGTCAGAGAATCTAGTGGTGATGTCATCCAACTTCGGGATTCTTTCGATTCAAAGGATGAGGTCATCGTAGTTGTGGAACACGCACTTGAGAATATATTCTTTCTATCCTCAGTGCAGTTGCTCTGAACCCATGGGAATAATGTTGAAGGCATCGGAGTGTTATTTTGCCCTGTGTGCAGCGGTGACGTAGAGCGGGAGGCGTCACCTACCGGCCAAGACTGCATGAATGACGAAAAAGACAAATTGAGGGGCAGAGGGGTCAATTCCGGGGAATACGATATTTTTTCCGCTGCCTGTCTCCCCTCCCTGACAATGGGAGGAGACCTTGCCCGAGATGTTGATGGACCATTTGGAGCGGGATCTTCCTTGATTACCTCAAAGAATTTTTCGTTCTTGAACACTGTGCAACTGGAAAAGGTAACGTAAAATACAAGTGTTTTTAGGACACGGTTGCCTATTTAAATACAACTAGGTAACCAAATACATTTAAATTTTCTATTTCAAGTCAAAAACTATTGACACTACAGCGTCTCTTTTGAATAAAAAAATTGATAAAAACTATCCCTAAATTTAATTTTCTACATTGATTCGGATCTTGAAAAATTGCTTTAGCTTTCTGCTGACAGCATAGGTGGATTAGACTAGAAAATACAAAGTAAGATCTATTTTAGGTCCTTTATACAACGAGCAGTATGCTTAAGCGATAAACTCTCCACTGGTGTACTGCGAGAGGTCCTAACATGTACTTTAGTAACTATGCTACAGGTTCACATGTTCTCTTCACGTTACGTCACCAGGCTTTCAAACTGTCAATCTCTCAAAGTGTAACTGTATCGCTAAAGTATACCGCTGGAGGTGGACATGGGACCTTACTCACCTGCCATTCAAATTGGGATCCTTGTCTTTATACAAGTTGACAGTGCTACCCGGATGTGAACAATACGGGGGCGGGGCGTCACACACATACTGGAACGGATGGTGTTGTACTGGAACAGAGCAGATCAGAATTTATCGTAGCCTATAAGTTGCTTTTCTTTTCCTTGAATTATAGTATGTTTAAATTTATATTATTTCAATAAAAAATCATTCAGGAGCTGTGTTCATTGGTCAACCAAATTTAAGTGGACGCACCATGTGACCCACTTCGGTGCTGGTGATGTCCCAGAAGCAGTGGCGGATTTTTTTTTTTTTTTTTTTTTTTTTTTGGGGGGGGGGGGTCAGCCCCTTTCGGTTTCTAAAAAATATATCGCACCAATATTCCCCTCTTGAAATTAGAATTTTGACTAACAAAATTATAGTTCTTAACCGTACAAAAGGGCGCTGTTTGCTCGCCAAAACACCCAAAAATTTTCAGGGTCCTTGAGCAGGCCCCGAACCCCACACCAAGGGGGCGATGGTCGGCTTCGCATCAGAGGCCTGTCGTTCCGAACACCCCCCCCCCCCCCCTTCAAATAATCCTGGTAGCGTATGTATAATGTAAATAATGTTTACAAATCGTTTGAAGACAACTTCCCTCTTTTGTCCCGTTAGTAGTAGTAGTAGTAGTAGTAGTAGTGGTAGTAGTGGTAGTGGTGGTGGTGGTGGTGGTGGTGGTGGTGGTGCAGGTAGGGTAGTGGTGGTGATGGTAGATGTAGTGGTAGCGGTATGATAACATCACTTACCTCCACAGTACTGGCAGGCTGGGTATCTGGGATCCACCGTACAACCGAGTCTATTCCTACGAGCAGTATCTAGATGTAAAATAATAATAATAATAATAATAATAATAATTATAATAACACATGTGATAAAATATCTACACCAATTTGAAATAAAAGTATGCAGCATGTTGTGGTATATATGGCATACAATGAAGCAGCCCAACAGAGAACCTTCGCCCCTTCTTCTTCTTAACGTTAAATCGTATGACTTTTTTGTATTAGTAAAAGGGACACATTTTATTCTCCTCTTTATGGACATTAGTGAGGACCAGCGTCCCCGTTTAAACACCCCCACTTCCCTTCCCCAATTAACTAGTAAAAGCATTTCATCAACGAAAAAGTACGCATATCATATTTCTGTAAGTAACTTGTCAATAAATAAGAGCAATATTTTCATTGTTTCTTATCCAACATCTTTCAATTACTGTAATTCGAAATGTGGCAAAGGAGTTACTGGTATATATCAACCAACCTCCAATTCCACATTGTACAAAAAGTAATGTCCTCACCTTTCTTGTTCCTGTGTTTCTTGTGTATATAGCAACAACTGCACCAGTAACAGAAGATGAGCGTCATGACAATAACAATGAGAACACCTCCAGCAATTATACTGGCCAATACGGGTATACTGGAATAAAAGTAATACTAAGTTGAGAAAGGAGACAGCTAAAGCTGACAAATGTACAGACTACGTGTAGCAGTCTCAGCTTAAACATTTAGAAACAGCACTCAATGCCGACTTCTTTAATCATGCTCTGCATGCGACACCAAGGCAAACGCTTGAAGAAAAAGAGATTTATCACAAACCTCTGGTAAAAGAATTGTAAAACACAAACAAATAAAACAGCACTTTGGTTATCTAAAATAAAGTAATTGCCAAAAACAAAAAAAAAGAGAAAAAATAAATAAATAACCTATTGTGGCCAATACAAGTTCAGTATATTACATTTACGAGACCGGAGAAGAGCCCAATGTGGTGACAATCTCAACCAGCACACCAACCGCAATCACAGTAGCGAATCTCAATCAAGATTTCAAAGGCTGCTTACATAGTTTTTACCCCAGCTTTTATCTAAGCCCCTAAGAGTATCTTGAAAATACTCTCTCAGTGGTGACAAAAGCCATACGAGTATAAAAACATGTACTGATGTCTATAAAACGCTCATAAAATATATCGTATACCATCGATACTTTCAGAGAAGCAGGCTCAAGGCAAATGCACAGTAATGTAATTAATTCAAAAGCGCTAGACAGAAAAATTATATTTTTCTTTTAAAAAAACTAGTGCACAAAAAGTTCTGCTGTATGAATGCGCTAGGCAAAGGAGCGCCTTCTCTATGGCATTCTCATCAGCAAAAGATTTTTTTTTACTTTTACATCAGTTATTCCAATCGTTCATTCAATATCTTTAGCGGACGAGGCTAACGAACGTGTTCGAATATCGAACAATGGTTTGAATAGAATAGAAGAGTGCGGTATATCCCCGGTTTTGAGTTCTAGGTGGTTAATCTTTTAGCCTCTCTCGTAATGAAGTGGGAGACTGGCGAATTTCACGTAAAAACTTCAGAAATTATATATATATATTTTTCTATATTAAGCTCTAACGTGCATTGTATGCCTTAAAAAATTAACGTCACCTTGCTTTCTTTCATCGATCCCAAACTTCTGCGAAATTCAAAGGAGCTTAATTTTGTGACGTAGCTACAATGTACTGAAATGTTTCATGAAGTCTATTAAAAAAGATAACCTAAAAATAAAATCGTCCTATAAAATCGAGTTTCAGCCGCGCAGCAGCAGACCAGTGAAATGCACGAAGAACCTTCATTTTGTACAGTGTAAGCGCACGGATATCACATTGTCTCTCGGTAGTGGGGAAAGTAAGATAAAAAATGGAGTTGTTTATAGTCAGTAGGAAGAGAACGCTCCTGCCAAAACCCATGCTGTGTATTTCTTTTGATACGAATCAGCTTTTCTAGTAAAACATGCACGCCCAGCGAAAGCTAAAAGAACAAGGAAGGGTGCGCTTTTAACGTGATCTAAAAGTTTATTTATTTGCTGTCATTTGCCCCCTTTTCCCGCCGTTCCGCTAACATTGGAATACTCATTTAATTGCATCTCCCCGTGAGCCGCCAGTCACTCGATCTAAGAATATACATGTTCACATGTTTCAGAGTCATGTCCTGTTTGTCAGCGACAGTTGGATTGTTAAGCGACGTTACGACATTTAACTGAAATTTATGTCCCTTCGCTGGGTAAATTCGGTATAGAAAATTCCAAATAACTGACTATCAATCCATGAATGTTTCACTGCAGCTATTTTAAAACAAAAAAATACTACACACTAGTAACGAACGTTTAAAGCCGTATGTGCAGTGGTGAGCTTTACTTGCAGGTGTGAATTTTCACGTCTGTACTGCCGATGGCGTACATAACACAGGTTGGCATTCTTGCACCTGTTGAACCATTCATTTTAAGGAGCCGAACACAGGTTAAGAAGTTTATGCTGAACACTAATTGATGAGAATCAGAGTTTATTTGAAGGTACTCAGACCACCAGGGAACCAGTATCATCTAAATCACTTTCCTTACATCATTCTAGGGGTTCTTTTTAGGCCTAGAAGAGATAAGGGGCCCGTTTCACAAAACGGATGTTGTTGAAAATAGGCCTGCTGTGGATTTTAGCCGGCAAAGTCTTAAAGAAAGTCTAAAAGACTGCTAACCTCATCTTTTTGGTCACTATAGCAAATTATGATTCCATTGACAGTGATTTTTTTACCCTTATTGGTGACGATAAGGTATACCACCTATATTCTTGCGGGCCAGTCGTTCTGAAAACGCTTTTACAACAGAGCTGACTCGCAGAGTCGACTGTATCTGATGCTAGCTCTAATCGCCCAAAACTAAGACCTTTATCGTAACAGGCCCCACGTTCTCCCCAAAACTAGAATTGATCTTACTCGAATGAATGGCGATAAGAAACCATTCCCACAAGTTATTTCAACGTAAAACCTTTGGAAATTAATCAATCTCGGCTACACCTTAGAGTTGTGAGATATCCCCGCCATTTGCCCAATTAGCCTGTTAAGTTTCAGCCATATTTCAACGGGCGTCCTCTTTGAAGTGGTCCTTTTTTTCATTCTGTGCGGTGTTGCTCCTGGTACATTTGTATGTATCTATTCTAATTTTACCAACTGCCCATTGAAGACAGATTTCACGTAGTTCAACGGTGCAGCGAGTGAAAACACCAGTGAAAACCGAGCGCACGCGGTGCAGCGAGTGAAAACCGAGCGTTTTGGGGTTTCCAGGTCTCACGATAACTCTTGTTAGGTTTTCGGTCCCAATCCTCTTTGAAATTTGGGCCTACTGTAGAAAACGACTACGTTGCCCACTGAAATGTTTCTTTAAGAATATTTTAATAGATACATAGTGCTTTCTGGTCTATTATATCTTCGTTTCTGTTTTAGCAGAATGGTGCTTATTTTGATAAGTATTAAAATACTAGACAGTTTTGTGCACCGGAGCAATTTCGAAGCATATCTTCATTCAGAAACCTCGTTATGAGACTTATCGTTTCCGTTCGGTATTTCTGCAAACGCTTCCATATTTTTCTTATCTTAGAATAAACATCTTTATCACAGTTAAAAAAGGGCAGTAGAAATGCCAAGTGGATATTTGCTGTTAACTGATATTTATTACAGGATATTATATTTTACTTCACAATTGCACGTGAGAATTAGATGAAGCTAACCTTAGCCTACACAAAGACTCCTATCATTCAAGGGTGTTTTCATCATTTTAAGGGGGGAAATTTTCTCCAAAGTGGATTTAGCTCAATTATCCCCCGCTCTGTAATTGAGTATGAGTTTTGGTGATTACTGCTCGACTGTAAGTGTTATTTCTTACCAAAACAATCAGGAAAAACGACAGGAACTACCAAGCATTTTGTTTGTTGAGACCACAATGGTGAATTCCTGACACGTACAAGTGTTAATTTAACTAAACAACGGTAACAGGCTACAAAGGGTAATGCAGTCGTCCTCTTTGGTTAAACTAGTCTTTTCAGTCTTCCATGAATAGCTGTTTGTTACAGTGTACAAATGTTACACCACAGTGCTAGTACCGCATCCACTTATAAAAATGAAATGATATGGAATTTCTCCTCTCTTTTCATTCAGATGGGCATTTGTGTGTGTATGGGGGGGGGGGGGTCAGCCCATGTAGGTCACTTGCGGAAAAAACGGTGGGATAAGGGAAATTTATCCCCACGCATTTTTTCTGAGTGGCTATAGCATCTCTCCAATTTCGAATTATGTCAACGGCTTTGCACACGGTATACTCTGGTGACAAAGCGAAAAGTGTTGACATTTTCAGGAAAATTAGATGTTTGCTATATCAAGATATGACACTCACTGAGAGGCTGAAAAAAACACGCCGTTTAAAAAAACAAGTAGTCACACCCTTTCTGTCACGATCGCGCACAATAGCGTCTCTTTTTTTCCGTTCTACACACATCCACCCCAGTCAGGAACACGCAGACTTGGCAAGTGAACTAATCGCACACCTCAGGTACTAATCGGTGAGTTTACCAAGGTAAAAAAAAATGGGGTCTAGTTCACAAAAGGATTTAGTCCGAAAATTATAGAAAACTGCTCCTTAAGACTAAAATTTTAGTCTACTTTGATCCTAGAGAAATTATTAGGATAAATAAAACATAGCAAAAAGAAATTTTTTCATCATTGAGATCAATGTTTTATTTACCAAAGTGTAAAACTAAAGATTTATCTTTCACAGAAAAGACTGAAATTTTGGCGTAAATATTTAAACTAAATGTTTGGGGCCAAAGTCCTACTTGTGAAACCGCCCCTTGGGTAAGAAAACAAAAACATCTACAATGTATATAATTTCCTCTGCAGCTCGATTACTCAGGTAAGCCCTTTATCAACTTAAACAATGTCGACAGCGCTTCCGAAATTTCTTTTAAGAATTCTCACGCGTTTTTTGTCTCGTCAACCTCCGGTCTAACAACCCTGAGTTTCAGAAGTCTGTGGGAATTCACCTCTGTACTATTAGCGTTACTCAGTTACGGCACAGGAGTGCTGGGGTGGAGAGATGAGTTTCCAGGTCTTTCTGAAACTCAGGGTCGTTCTGGCAGACAGACAAGCTAATCCCGTTGCACCTGTGATATTCCGAACGCCTGGGGAATCACCCTGTTTTCTGTTGACTATAACACCATGGGCTTAAAAAGTTTATAATCTGAGAAAGAAATAAGGTCCATTTTTTTTTGGGTAAAATTAAGCGAAAGCTGTACCTTATCCGTTCTTTTCTAGAAATAGACTAAGGAGATATGAAAGCTCTTAACTTTCACATCTCTCTCTCTCTCTCTCTCTCTCTCTCTCTCTCCATGTGTGTGAGAGAGAGAGAGAGAGAGAGAATAGAAGGAGCGAGAGAGAGCGAGAGATAAGAAAGATACGTGCGTGTGTGTTCTATTGTCTGTGTATGCTTGAGTGTGGGCGCATTTCGTACATGTATGTGCTTGTGGTCGTGCGTTTTAAACAGAAAGGCACACAGACGGGCGTGTGGGTGGGCGCACGTACAAATAGACAGAATCATACATCGACAGAGATAGTCATTTATTTTGGTGGCTGATGTAGCTCTCCTTCTTCACTTTTCCCGCTATCACGGGTTAGGCCTACTTCTGACGCTCGGGGTATAGTAAAGAGATAGACGGGAAGACCAAGCTCAACTCACTTTTCCAGTAAATCAAATCCTTCTGGCTGCGGCGCCTCGCTGGGCGGTGGGCAGCAATAGCGTGCTTGCTGGGAACCACAGCAGTACTTCTCTGGCTCGGGGTCCAGCTCGGGGCATGAGAACCCGTTGTTCCACACGCCATATCTATCAAGATACCCAGGACAGTAGGGCTCCTTGGATTCTGAAACAACAACAACTCGAATTACGTTTACGAAGAATTTGCGTGCCCAAGTTCGTGCATTGTAATAATAACTTTGAACTGAATCGCTTAATTTACCTTTACCTGGTCCCGAACTAACACGAAAAGAACGGTGGTTTCGTTTCTGAAACTTACAAGAATTTCAAAAATAAAATATATTCGAGGGGGGGAGGGCTTCAGGATGAAGAATTATTAACTTATGAAAGGTATGCGAAAACCATTTTACAACATGTCAAGCACCGGGATGGAAAATCGAGTTTTCTCGTTTAAGAGGGGGAAGGGGAGGGGATGAGGGGGGTGTACCTGCTATGTCCTCCCTGGAAATCCGGTTGACCCTGCCCCCCCTACACACACACACACACACACGCACACGCACACACACACACACACACCTGCAAGACAGCTTGTTGCTCAAATAACCATTTATTTCATCCAATTATTGCTCATGAACTGTGGCTTTTTATTGGTAAAAAGTTAGGGGCCACACGTACTCTTGCCTTTGCCGAAAAAAAGTATTTTATTACAGGAAGCACAAAGATTAAGCTGGCGTTTCAATGTGAAAAACCTCGCCCGAAATGTCACATTTTTTTTTCAGGCAGCGGTTTCGTATGTCTCCGTCATTTGTATGGGGCCATGTGCATATAGCACGTTTTTTGACTGTGTTGCAGACCGGGTCATATGTGTACCCTGGGAGTCATATGTGTACCCTGGGAGTCATATGTGTACCCTGGGAGTCATATGTGTACCCACGGAGTCATATGTGTACCCCGGGAGTCATATGTGTACCCTGGGAGTCATATGTGTACCCTGGGAGTCATACGTGTACCCTGGGAGTCAGGGTACACATATTAGAATGCTCTATGACGTTTTTTGTAATCTTTAATAGAAGGGAGTTTCCAAATACTTCTGAAACTCAGGGGGCAGAGAGAGCTGACGGTGAATATGAAATTTTAATTGTCTTGCAAAAACATTGAAGGGAAAACGGATACCGGTAAGTTGACTCTGACGTTGAAAGGCGGAGATGGGCATCCTCATAACTATATCCCAGAGGTTTAAGCACTGGCATGGAATCTTTTTCTGTTCATTGGGGACAATAAGCTTCACCGTCAGTTCCCCGACGATCGTGTCAGCGAGTCCGTCTGGAGAACCCCTGCCCACGCTGTAATAAAAAAGCCCATTACAGAAGAGAACATGGTCCGATGACCGGTCTGAACATAAATACCAAAATTTCAGGCCCTAGTTAAAAAAAAAAAAAAAACACTGAGTAAGATATGTGCATGTGACCATGTAACGTTGGTTACAAAGATGTTAGCCACGGGGACTAATTTGAGTTTTTTTTTTTTTTTTTTTTTTTTTTAACTGGGGCCAGTCTACTTTGACCCCAGATGAATCAGAGGTGATACTAATAATTGAAACTCCTTGACTTTTGTATCACAAAATAGACCACTTAATTCAAGTGTTTTACTATCATGAACAAAGGAAGGCTAATTTTGGGGTCTAAAAGTTAAGACCAGTTTTCAGGCCAATATGATTTTGGGATATCGGCCCTTGCACATAGTGTAATGACAATTCAGTAACGTGAAACTTTTGGCAAACAGAAAAAGTCCAACAATCTCAGTTATGATAAATGGGAAATATTTCCTGTCGTATCTCAAATAACTTATCAGCTACAAGTAGTTTTTGCATTCCTCGTTGTATCATTTTACGTGTTTATCGAGATTTGGTGTAGGTTTGTGGTTTTTGATAGTCGTGTTTTTTGGTCTTGCAGAGACGCCCCGCTGTAGCTGGCGTGGCTGATCAGGAAATAAAGGGGAAAACTAAATATGAAGGTCATACTGATAACATCTTGTACTGCGCCTTCCTATCTACTATCAATTGAAGATGGGAGTATCTTTTGGTGAAAATTTCATTAAAGAGAGTCACAAAATAAGGTGTAAAATAAGGTGGATTTTTTTTTTTTTTTTTCATTTTAATTCCACTGACGAGACTGAAAAAAATTGTAAAACGTACTTTCCGACGCCGGGAATCGAACCCGGGCCACCTGGGTGAGAGCCAGATATCCTAACCACTAGACCACGTCGGACACTGATGTACATGTGTTAACCTGCAGTCAGCAGCAACTCTGCCTCAATTCTGCGTATAATTATTCCAAAAATTAAAACGTATTACTCTGAGATGAGCCGTGCCACGCTAAGCACCACAAGCTTCAATGAAGTTCTACTAACGCTATGTAATTAAAAAAATAAAATCATCAAGTGTTTTCCCACCTCGAAAAAGGGTAAATCAATAATAAGGAAAAAGAATTTTAAAAGCATATACATCAATTTTCTGCATCAGAAATAAAGCAAATTTTGCTATCAATATCCATTATATGGTTTAGATTCACTTTGTATGAAACAATGACTTTATGACTTTTATATCTTGTGAAACCATCAATGTTCGAGGTCCAAGTGACGTCACCTAGCTGGAGATAAAATAATGACGTCATATGGATAAATGAAAAGGAAGAGGTTGATTCAGGGAAGTAAAAGAGTTAAAGAGTTTACCGAGTTTTCCTCGTCAAAAATTCGCTCGCTATGTCTCTCTTCCCAGTAAGATTGTAGGTTCTAACGTTAATCCTGGGCGACAAGAGGCGGAAACATGAACGGCTTGTCGCTTCATCTCGCACGTTTATCTCACAAACATCGAATCTGACCTCGAATGGTTCTTATTAAATTGAAACCCTTTAATTCGTTTGCCAAAGGAGGGCCTATGGAATATAAACATCGCCCACTACTTTTTATAATACACATCTTTTTAACAAGAGTAAAATTAGGGAAAAGCGGAAGTTCTGATGGAAGGATATTTTAAGGCAAAATGTTTAAAGAAATAAACATTTCAACCACTTTATTGGAGACGTAGCTCCCGGAACAAATGTTAAGGCGTGGTATATTTTGCTAGTTTCGATAAAAAAACTTTAGACTAAAAAAAAAGACACTAATTGATATACGAGCGACTCTCGTAGTGCGTCTCATATAGCCGCATATGGTTCTAATTCTCTGCTTTGCTATCTTGGAGTTGAAATAAAGTATCGTTAATTGGAAAGAACGTTCGGCCTTGAAGAGCTTACCTTAGACTACAAAGAGGAGGACGAATATTTTGATTGCATCCATAGTTTTCATCGTCTGCGATTTGGGAAAAGTTGCAAAGAGCATGGTAAAAAAAAAAAAAAAAAAAACTTTCCGGATGTTATGGGCAAGCTGATAAAATATTAATGATAATTTTTGTTCTTTGCTCTGTGTTTTGTTCCGACTCTCTGCGTCGAATGTGAAGTCTGAGCAGAGCCAGTAATATATGATAATATATAATATAATAATGAAAGCTAATTTCAATCATTACCTGCTAGAGACAAGACCAGCGTTATCTACATGTGTCACAGCAAATATATTGACATTTGTTTCAAGGAAAGACAATGCTGTTTCAGTTTTTTGATAGTGCTAATTTTTTAAATATCCTTATACATGCCTTGATTTATTTATATTTTAAATTCCCCTCGTATTGTACATAAATGCATTGTACATTCTGGGATGCATTTGTTTCCTACAAAGTTTGCATAAATTATGCTCTAAGATCCATCAATCTTGTATGAAGGGTCCCAGCTATGATAAAGAAATCTGGATTAAATTAGACGAGTTTTTCTTACAGGCACTCAGGAACGTCAGGAAACTAAAATGTGTTTTGGAGGACTCTTGACACCGATACGCCTGCTGCGAGTGTCAGTTAAAACGTCACGGGTGACTTGGAAAGGGTATTGAATATCATACGCTCGCATGCTTACTGGTATATACTAAACTGCTATTTCGCGCCACTTGTTTATAAGGGTTGATTGAAGCACGATATTGTTGTTTATCTGCCTAATGCATTGTGTCATGACTCTCACGGACCTTTCATCAACACAGGAGAAGTTGCATACACAGTACAGTAATCATTTACGTAAAATGTTTTGCTAATGGTAACTAACATTTATGAACGTTCTGGCTGTCCATCTGACCCGAGTAGAATCGTTAATCATAATCTTCATTTCTTTAGATCAATTCTCCATTTAGGGTGCCCCAAAAACCGCCCAATATAAGCACCAGCCCCATTATATGTTTCATTACATATAATGTATGGATTTCTGTATAAAAACTGGGGCATTCGGTCTAAATCGCCACTTATCAATTAACATTTGAACCGAGCAGGTCCCCATGCTGCTTTGCTTGTGACAAATTGGATAACGATTATATAAATATGCTAGATTATACTATAAATATGCTAGATGGAGTAATAACCCAAGTGAGCAAAGGAAACAACTGCAGGCGGGAGTGTATTAGAGTTGGTGGTGGCTGGTGGTGGTGTTGGGGGTGTGGGGTGGGGGTGGGGGGTGGGGAGGGGGAGGGAAATATTACCCCACCTTCAAAGTACATGTGCTACCACAAACCTTTCGAACAATTACCCATTTTTTTGGGTAAAACCATCTTCATATATTTTTACTTGTTCTGGCAAAACATTATTTTGTGACCCAAACTTCTTAAAACGCACAGTTTGTCACTTGGCAAAATTGATAGAATAATTTGGTTATTTGAAAATAAATGCAAGAAGTGGACAGAACTGACCTTGGTTGAAAATCCACTGCGCGCCCTCCGGCTTGCTAGGCATTGCTGAAATAGTTTACCAATGGCGTTATCCGTCAGACCCTTGCTCCGCTTGCTGTGGCCAGTCAGGAGGCAACTGAAGAACAGCGCAGAGATTCTTGTTTACAACACCACTGGCACGCACGCCGGAGAAGATTTGTTTTCCAAAAGCTACCGCTGTTCAGAGGAAGAAACCTTATTCCCGCACGTGCAAACGAAAGTCGAGTGTCAAACTTTGTATCTCTGAAACGCTGTCACATCTATCAAACCCAAAACCAGGACCTTTAATTCTCCCTCAGTATAGGCCCTTAAGTTTCTCTCCAGCTCGAGCCACAAGCCTGGGCTATCCTCTGCTTGTGGGGAGCGAGACGTTCCTGGGAGGAAAACGAATTCTCTGTAAATTTGTACGGATTCGATTAACTTTGCCAAATTAATTGAACATTCTAAATATTGCAAACTAGTAGCATTTATCATTCCATTCATATACCGTTAGTCATCCAGAGCGGTTACTGTTGAAGTTTGCAATTTCTCACATCCGATGAGCGTTGGGAAAGTAGGAACACGCTTTCCACAAATCTAATGATTAAAAATGAAGCCGCTGCTCGGAGCTTAGCCTCTCGTTTTTTAAATGATTCTCAAGCAAGATCTGAGTTTGCCAAGCACACCAAATAAATGCCCCAATATACTACCTTTGTGAAATACATGTAGGTGTCTGCTTTCTATCAAGCAAAATCTCTATCTACTTCAACAAGGAGACTCCACTGGCTCTCTGGCTCTGGCCTCGGCTGAGACCGCATTCACACCAGGTTTAAATAAAATCTTAATCCATTCGAGCGAGCGTCGTCGCAGTAGCCTTTAATCGCTCCACACCAATTTATACTTGGGAATCTAATCTCTCTCAAGAAATGATGTGCGCACACCGGCTTGATTGCAATTATTCCTAAAAAAACGTTTAGGTCAATACAACTGTACAGATGACCCCTGGTTGTGTTCAGTGTGAATACGACCAAGAGTTTCTCAGCTGGCCACACGTGGTGCACGTGGTTCATATCCCTCACTTCTGGTGGCCCGTCTCACCACCTATGTCACACTGGGAAATATAACCCAAGCTGGCGCTCATAAACCACTGGCGGCTCCATGCATTTGCTTAGTGTGTGTTTGGATATGTAGGGGGAGTGGGAGATAAGAAAGATGTTTTGGTCGGCAACAGTTGTTTGATTTTGTTTCGTTCCGTTCATTAGGCTGTTTGAATGTGTCTCAGTAGCTTAGGGGGCGGGGTGGGGTGGGGTGGGGTCGCTCCGCCCCCCCCCCCCCTAAAAAAAAATAATAATAAAGGACATCATTGTACAGTTTATAGATATAGTTATAGACCCATCGGGCAAGCTGGGCCCAAGGTGTAACCCAATAGATGAGCAAGGCCAGGCAATCCCCGTTATTGTGTTAATTACGTTTGTATCTATAGTATTAATAAAACGATAGTGATATGTGAAGTAGGTCTTATTGTTCCTGTGGGAATATGTTATTCCTCGTTAACTATAAAATATAAACTGTCTTGATTTTGTCTTTCTATCTTATTTGCTCTCTATTTTCTTTGTTTATTTTCACCTTTCCATCCCTTCTTCCCCCTTTCAATCACCCCCTCTTTCATTTGCTCATTCATTCATTTATTCATTCTATTTTTCTCTTTTATCCTGCGCCGCTACTCTTCCTCCGCACCCCCNGCCATGGCGAGTGAGACCGGTTGACTATAGTCCTGCTTAAGCGCTGATTTCACAGAAAAGTTTAACCCAAAATTGGTCTAAATTTCAGACCAAAAATTGCTCTACTTAAGTTCAAGAATACATGTATATTCAATTTTGTTCACATCAAAATGTGTATTTATCAAATGTATTTATCGAAAACAATGGACACGTCTTTCTCCTACAATTTTCCAAATGCGATATTACTGACAGAGAATAGATAAGGATTAAAGATCTATTTTCTCATCAATAGACCAATCAACGTTCTGTGCAACTTTTAAACGACAAAACCTAAATAGTGCAGTTCCGCGAAGCGAGGTGACCGGATACGGAGGTGGAAGGTGGTAAAAATGGAACTGGAGTTCAACTGGCCTAATTTTCTGATGAGATAACAAATGCAGGATATTATTATAGAAGCGCGGTCGAAAATTGAATTAGTTCTTCCCGCTAAGAGCACTATTTCTTAGGCAAACATCTCACCTGGGGTTCCTGATAACTTCCATCTGTCTCGTAGTAACATTCATTCACTAAGTAAAGTGACTGCAGCTGGCTTTTTACTTCATCTTTGATGACAGATACATCATTTTCACTTGCCACTCGACCAGTGATAAATTTCAATGGTAAAATCATGAAATGTGTTGCAGAAAGTTGCTATTTTATGTTGATATTTTATGTTTTCCTGTCATAACAGAATCCTTTTTCTTTTCTGATTTGACTCCTTTATTTCTTCACGCATGTGTAAGCGGGTGGACTAATTGAACTTTGTAAGTAAACTTTCTTTTGGTTTCATTTTCAACCTGCTATAGAACGTAATTTATCCGGTAAACAACCGCAAAAAGTTTTTTTTTTTACGTGATACAAACCATCAAGCCAGCAACACAGACTTACTGGTGTGGATTTTGTACATGTCGTAAAAAGAAGTATAAGAGGGTGGATGTGATACAAATATGTATCAAAGGTTAGGACGGTAGACAACACTGATTCACTTTTTCACCCAGTTTCAAAGATTGCCTGGAAGCCAGAGTTTCAGATACAAGGCAGGGCTTTTTTTAAACTCCCATACAACTCAGAGTGGCTTGTCACTAGTCGCACATGGATGTTTAAAAATGAAGATACTTCCTACCGGTAGATATCGAACAAACCTTTTAGACCAAAATTTTTTGACAATTTCAATTTACGGTGTATCTGCTTAGTCCTAGGATATTATCCTTTTCATTAGTACTAAAAAAGGTGCAATATTTCATCTATCAGGACGCATATATCTTAGGGCAAAGGAGACTAAAATGTTGGTCTAAAAGTGAACCTCTTGCGCAACAGGGGCTAATTAATCTTCTGCGAGGGCTTTTAGGTTAGGTACATAGAATGCCACGGAGTATCACCAAAACGCATTAAATAACAGCAATTATCGGGATTGCTACATGCGCTAAAAATAACCCCACAAATCTAGAGCAGGGCAAACCGCTAACCGGTGCCCTTTTTACAAATGCGCCAGCAGTTCGCATTCATCACACCAGTTCCCTTCGAAATACCGCGCGTCGGTCGGCGAACAGCAGGGGGGCTGTTATAACACTGGACATTGTCGTTGGTCAGTCGCGTTGACCTGAACATCAGTGGAGTGCGACATTACAGGAGAGTCGTACGCAAGATATAAACAAAAAATGGCCGAGATGGATGTTCTAGCACAGAAGAAACGCGGAGGCTACGATTCACCAGATGATAGCGGAAGACAGAGCCAACAGGGAAACAACAGAAGATGCCTGATCGGAGTGATCATATTTCTCGCCGTCCTGTGTTGCATCATGTTTCTGGTCATCATTTTAGCTGTGGCCGGGGGATTCGTGATTGGCAACGTGACTCCCCCGCCATGTCCGCCGGTGACAGAGAGGTTTGTTATGCAGGTAGGTTGTGTACAAAAGCAAGGTCCTATTATTTTCTGTTTACGTCAGTTATGCTGATCCATCACAGCGGTAAAATGGGTCACCGCTTACCTATTCCTTGACGCTTAGTTTTGCGTAATATGTACATGTATATCGTTCTATTTGGCAATTTGATGGGTCCTATGTTGAGCATGTGGTAGTCATTTTTTGCGCCTCTCTCTCTCTCTCTCTCTCTCTCTCTCTCTTTGTGTGTGTGTGTATGAGAGAGAGACAGAGAGAGACGGAGAGAGAGAGAGAGAGAGAGAGGGAGAGAGAAATGGCAGATTTGACTCATGAGCCCACCTCATCTCCCCACGATCAGCCCACCGTAAGGTTAGCGTTCCTTACATGCCGCTGTGGGTCGAAACCCTCTTACGCCGGCTTCCTGGCTCAACGAAAGTAAAACTAGTTTCTCTCCTGAAACTCTCATCTGACACTTTTTATATGTTTATTTTAGAAAATAGAACGAAAGTACACTGGCAATATCATGATAACCCCATTACGTATATAGATTACTAAGTACTTATCATTTGACTTAAAAGCACATTTTTGCTTCGAATTTGGGTTCAACAGACATGCGAAATGACAGAGAAATGAGTCGGGCAAGATGGATTGGCGAGGATCCATCTCTGTCTTAGCACTAAGATGGAAAAGCATAGCTTTATACATTTCATGTCTTTATATCCAATTTTATACTGAACTAACTTTGATTGATGCGTTAATACATCATAACTGTCATTTACTGAAGCCAGAGGCACGTTCTCTTTTATGTGTCCAACGTACAACAATAAAATTGCAGTGTTAGGAAATGATGGTGGGAAAATGAAGTTCGATCCAATATTACAACAGCCTTAATTCTGCTACATACAGTATATCTGCTTATACAGTATATCTGCGTATTACTATCATAAAGGTATTCCGTATTGGAAAATCCATATTGCCTGTACCCCCGTACAGAAGCCATGTCCGTCAAACAGTTGGTTTGATGTTCAACTTTCCCATCAGGGTCACTTCTTTGTAGAGGGACTGATATTCCAAAAGAAGATAAGTCTAAAATTGGGGGGGGGGAGAGGGGGGGGTTAAAAAGCTCCGCTTTTAAAAAAAATACTTTGAAAACTTTGAGATTAATGCAATGTTAATGTTGGCATCAGAATTTATGGGAAATGTCAGCATAGGGAATACTGGGGCATAATACTGGTTCCCATTTTTGTTTTCTTTATTCTGTTACGGCATTGTGTCGTCACACTGTCATCTACAGCTGTTGAGTTATCTCCAACAGCTTTTTCTTCTTGTAACAGACTTCATGCCATTCTATCTTGTGGTAAACAAGCTGGGGCGGATCCAGGATTATTTGAAGGGGGGTCCGCGGATGCGAAGCCAACCCTCCCCCTCCCGTGGGGTTCGGGGCCCGCTGAAGGGCCCCGAATATTTTTGGTATTTTAGGGGGCGAATAATGCCATTTGGTACGGTTTAGAACAATTTTATTCAGCTAGTCAAAATTTTAATTTGAAGAGGGAACCTTTGGTGTGATTTTTTCAGAAATCGAATGGGGGATCAGGACCCCCCTGACCCCCCCCCCCCCTCTAAATCCGCCACTGACAAATGCGGGGAGGGGGGGGTTAACGTTTTTATTTTAGGCGTTTATGTTTTCCCTCTTTTTATCGCCTTCTCTAATGAACGAGTGGGTCTTGAATTACAGAATAATATATATTTTGAAAAATGCGACTGATAACCGCTTTACCCTCGCAAACATGTTAATACGAGATATGAGACAGCACAACTAACGTCTAATTAAAATTTTACGAGTCGAGGCAGAGGCCTTAACATTTCATATTTTGATAATGATAGCAGATAAAATACAATAAAGGCATCGAGATTAGTGTGTGCTGACTAGCAGATAAAATGTGATACATATACCGTGTTCGCATTACATGCAACATATGTATGTATGTTAACCAGGGTACGTTCCAAAATATCTATTTATTGTGTAGTTATTTTGTATTTATAGCATACATATAGATACACGTGTTATATCGCTTACATTAATGCGCTCCACCATTCGCTGCTATTACACCGAAACACGTGCATTAATCATTGAAAATGTGAATTACTTAAGTATCCCTTACCGGATTTTCCCGCCAAACCGAACTTTCCTCGAAAAGATTCTCTAACTCTCAAATTGTTCTTCTCGACTCATTTCTGCAGTTAGATTCGATATCATTTTTAATTGAATATATGTACTTTTCGTCAGGCATTTTAGGGGTTTTATCGTTTTAAGGTCTGGATTTGGAAAGTTGCTTGCAGGATATGTACAAAATAGAAAATATTAAAATATTATCAAATGCGGTTTGTATGTTCCCTCAAGCCGAATAGCCATTCTTTTTGCAGCAAAGTTTTGAAAGAATGAAGTGGAAAACTTCCTCGACATATAGAGTCGACGGGACAAGCAGAAATCTCGGGTCAGGCGTCGGCCATTGTGTGAAGAGTTAAATGTAAATAAAGTGATGAGAGAGAGAGAGATATGGTGATGATGATGATGCCTGTATTTCAGAATATCCTTAGTTTCCTTTGTAGTGACACTTAAATAATAAACAATATACATCCAGGATAAAAACCACGATAGAAATTGTTATCCTGTAGGCCTATATTCAAACTAAGTCTATTTGATATCTGCAACATATATAATCAATGACAAATAAAAAGATAAATGACACAAATAGTCTTTTATCAAAAACAATAAATTAACAGTATATTTTAAAATAATCTTTATATTCCGGTCAGGGTCTACATGTATGTGACTGAGACATGCGTTAACGCAAAAAAATATATCATCCCTTTCTCTTAGAGTTTATGAAGAGACACTGTTGACGTTATCGTATTGTAAATGAGCATGTCTGTTATATGTTAAGTTATTCACTAATACCCTAATCAAAGGACATCTGATGTCAAACATGAAGGAAATGATTGCAGTTTGCTCTGCAGAAGCGTTGGTGTAGAGAGCTAAATTCATTTACCATTTATAACACCTTGACAATCACCGAGTTCAAAACGGTTAAATACATGCTGCCTTCAGTCGTAAATATTTACCAAAAACGAAAATGTGAAATAACAAAACGCGTATTAAATCATGTAACTGGGAAGTCTTTTATTTGCAGTTTTTCTCAAAAGAGCATTATTCATCAATTCAACTTCCCCGGATTGTGCTTTCAAATATCCCCATCTCACGTCTGGATTTACTCGTCTGAAGCTGTGGTGTGAGCCATTTAACAACCACCCTTACTAAAGGAGTAAAACTTCTGCCAGAATGATTTTCCACTCCATTTAAATTTGTATACGTCCCGAGATCTAATGTTGTTCAAGTCTCATTTTTCCGAAGGTACGCTGCCTCAGTAAGTGCTCAGAAGGCTTAATGATTGGATTTTAGATCTGTAATTATAATGAGATAATGCGCAATGCTTACTTTGAAGGAAATATGCCACTTAGGTATGCTTGTCATAGTTTATTTTCATAGTTTTACTGTTACTTTCCGTCTCAAGCCATATGAAGGCACGTTAACATTGAGTAAATGACGATCTTTCTTGGTGCGTGGGTGTTTTTGCGAACTTTTTATTTACATATCGTGTATTCACTCGCGTACCACAGATACAAAAAATAATAACTGCAAATCTAATGGGGACCGCCTGTATTAAAACAAAAATTTGTTTTGTAGCAGAAATAAGTTCCATGCAGTATTCTCCCTTTTAGTGTATAAATATAAATAAAACGAAACAGCCTCCCCGACGGGGAATTGAACCCCGGTCTCCCGCGTGACAGGCGGGGATACTCACCACTATACTATCGAGGATTGGCTGCACGACGTGAGAATTATTGTGGCTTCGAATCCGTTAATGAGTGATTTTCTTGCGTGGCTTGGTACTTGTAAAAACAAAACGTTTCATCGCTCATACGTGCTACATGTAGCACAAGTAAAGGACTTTAGACAGTGCAGCCTATTAAAATGCTATTTTTATCGGTATCAAAAATCCTGTTTTCAAGTGTAATATTGCAGCTGATTGTATATGATATCATCGATTAAAACCGTGCTCGTTAAACGCTCTTGTTTAAAGATAGGAGAGGGCCCAATTAAATTTTATTTTTTTTAATTTTTTTTAATTTTATTTTTTAGTATCATATATTTATCAAATAAATTTTCTTTACTTGATTACTGATTTTAATAAGATAAAAAAATAGTTGCTGATTTAACGCCCGCTTATATGTGTATGTATATATAATGGGTCCCAGGTTTCAGTGTTTCATTTCTGCTTACTTTTCTTTAAAACGGATAGTATATTTGCAAAATATTTTCATACGCAGAACTAGGCTCTATATTATTTATTTCCATCACTGAAACAAGAACCGATGATGAGCAAACACCTTAAAGAAAATATACATCAGGACCCCGTTATATTATTTACTGTATGTGATATCAACGATATTTTGAATGAAAGTATCTAATGTTGTTTTAAACGTCAAGTTGTCTTGAGGAATTGTCTAACTGACGAGTGACACTGCCTATAGAAAACAGTGTCAGTTGTATTCATTGTTTTTGCTTCGTTTGCATAACCTTATCGCTAGACGTGGGAAGGCAAAGATATGCGAAGCAGATCGTGTCGTCTCATAAGTGAAGCCGGTTAATGGAGTATTCACAGTGAGATATCATCAAAAAGCGAAGAGGGCGCTTTGTTTTCGCAAACCCTTCATTTACATATAGATTTATTTGAGGTTATAGTGAGTTATCTACTCGCGCACCACAGATACTGAAATAAAAACTGCTAGTTTAAATAAGAACCGCCAGTATGAGAATTTCTGAGCGTCAGTTTATTATTTAGCGACAAAAATATATCCAATAGACATGCGTTCCGTAAAGTACCCTCGCTTTGTGTGTACGGTAAATATAAATTTAAAAAAATCTCTCTTCCTCCCCGACGGGGAATTGAACCCCGGTCTCCCGCGTGACAGGCGGGGACACTCACCACTATACTATCGAGGATTGGCTGTAGAACTCACAGAATATTGTGGTTTCGAATTCCGAAGATAAGAAAAGATACTCCATGAAAACATACCACACTGCATGTAAGATGATGAGAATGTTTAAGTTGAACAACATTAGGCCTTTATACATTGATATTTTCAGTACTGAAATCTGCTTTGACAACCAGTGACTTCATTGAGATATCTGGAGTTCAAACACAGATATTATCTATTTTCATTTATAACTGAGAGTGAGCAGTCTATAGTACTGTATGACATAATATACTTTTTGAAACGAGTTGTCCTGGTGAAGTTAACATTTAGACTTTTTTCCGGGTGGGAGTACCTAAATTCAGAATGCAAAGCTTGTTGATCATCGCTGATACATGTAATATTTCTCACAAATGCTATAGCCTTTACTTTACATGTATCTAGATGTGTTGTTAGTCTATCCCCTGTTTCTTTATTACCTCTCTTTCTTGTCTTATCTAACATTTTTTCTTGTTTTGTCAATAACACTGGGAACCTACATTCCAAACCATGTGTTTAAACACTGCCAATTACAGACAAAAAAGGCTATAAAACAAAGCTATAATCTTTCTACAAATAGATTAGACCAGGGAACTATATCCGATATAATTCCCTGATTAGACTTCATTAGGTAATATAAGTTGTACAAACTTTTGTTTGCTTCCTTTATAAGCTTTGTAACGAGCTCTTCCCACTTCAAGTTAAGTACACATTTGCTAGTGTAGCATTATCATCTTTAATAGTTACTGGTGAATGAGCTTGAGGATTTCCTTTTAAGTCAAAATTCATGACCTTAGTTTTTCCATATAATAATATACTACTTGCTAGTTTTAGGGAGCGCCTGTAAAAAAAAAAGGGTACATTTGTAATGTACAGACAAAAATATGTCCAATAGACTTGAATTCCGTACACTATTCTCGCTTTTTGTGTGCGGTATATATAATTATAAATATTTAAAAATATTACCCTCCCCGACGGGGAATCGAACCCCGGTCTCCCGCGTGACAGGCGGGGATACTCACCACTATACTATCGAGGACTGATGACACGCTGGCTAATTTTGTAGCTAGTTGGAAAGCGGCTCTGCGAAAAGTATAAACTCCAAAAAGTTATGATTGTTTGTATGAAATTACGTTTTTATTTGATTCAACCGTAGAAACTTTAAACGTAGAAAAAAATTGTCGTCAGAGTCACGTGTCTCCTGCTAGTCATCTGAAGAAGTCGGAGAAGAGAGAAAGTCCTATTAGGACTTGATATGCAACATTCTGAATGTGGTTACATTTTAAACAATTTAGGCGGGTTTAAAACTTAGGAATATAAAAAACATAATGTCTACCAAAAGCAGGAAATTTCGCAAAAACAGTATATAAAAATTTATGCAATTCATTTCACGCAAACCATTATAATAAATGGAGTGGATGAAAATGATGAAAATTTTGATATCTGAAGAACAAATCACTGGTTCAGACGCATAAAACTTTTACAATATGTTTAAATACAATAATGGTGGTAGTTGGGGAGAGGTTTTTTTACAAACTTGTAATGCCGAAATGCTTTTTTTGGAAATCCCACCTATATTATACAATTATAAAATGTCCAAAAATACCGAAAATCATTTGATGTAATCCAAACACTAACAAGTCTGAATATTATTAGTCTAAATTGTAAGGTGGGAAGGGTGAGTAGCCCAATAGAGAGACTCAAGGCGAAATGGGAGGGTTGACACGTCTACTTTGACGCTTGCATACTTCTCTCATTCTCCTTGTCTATTTTTATCGCGTGCATACTCCTCTACCGAAATCCCCCAAACTTCTGAAATGTGCTTTTTCTATACGTCTACATTGACAACCCGACCACTATTCCCAGTTTGACCAACTTGTTGCTAGTATATACAGTTTATTTATTATTTTTTGATTAAATGTAATGTTTTGTTTTGTACGGATTAACCAAATATGTTTTTTTCAGCAGCCAGCCCTTGGCGGCGGCAATATTACGATACAAAGGGACAGTTTTGGCCAGACAGGCGGACTCGACATTGAGAGGTGAGGCAGACTGTTTTATATACAGTTTTCTACTATTGTATGGGAGCGGAACAGCACTGCACTCACCCCAAATTCCAAAGTTAACTGGTTACTCATCTCTGTAACTGTTATAATGCCTCCACGGTCTCCAGTCTCTTTTGAAACTCGGGGTATAGGCTACTTTGCTGTCCAGTGCCAGTTACCGCATCTTTCTATTACTCCACAGAACCTCCTTACAATTTACAGCGTGGCTTTCTGTCTTGAAAATAGCTACCTGTGGAAAATACCTATTTTAATAGCTTAACCAGTCTATCTTAAAAGATACACTGGTTAAGATGTTTATGGCATCACGAGACGACCGAATGAATAAACCAGTATTTTAGAAGACTGTCCATTGGGCCTATTTTGCAAAACTGCTAAAATACTTGAACTTAGTTAAAACTGCTAAACGCGAATAGTCGGCTCCATTAAGTCAATTTTGAAAATTTTGTTTAAAAGCATTTCACGAACAATTAGTTCACAATAGCTTTGGATTACACACCTCAAAGAATAATATATCCAGTGTGGTTAAATGTCTATAAGAGTATAGTTTAAATAAGGCCGAAAGAACAAGGTCGGCGACTTGATAGATTCTTTGTGAAACACAACTTAGATGGCAAGCAAAGAAATTTCTTAAGTGCTGACCTAAGAATCTCTGAGAAACGTGAGCCAGACTTAGCAAAGAACCGCTTATTCAATTTTTTTTTTTTTTTTTTTTTTTTTTTTTTTTTTTTTTTTTTTTAAA